CTTCACAGGGTTCGTGATCGCTAGAGCCAGCTCCTCAAGGACTGCTCAGACTATCGCAGAAAACTACGAAGAATGTGTGTTTCGTCGATTTGGCGCAAGTGAGGCGATCAGACATGACCGAGAACCTGGCTTCATGTCCGACTTCTTCAGATCGTTCAACAAGATCGTCAGCCAGAAACAGCGAGCGACTATGGCGTATCGACCTCAAGCTAACGGCACAGCAGAGCGTATGGTACAGACGTTGACACGTGCTCTCAAGATGTGCGTGGCTGATGTAAACCAGAAGGATTGGGATGAATACGCAGAACGGTTGACTTTCGCACTCAATACGGCTCAAGATCGTGTTCGTGGTGACACGCCATTCTACTTAGTTCATGGCTGGGATCCCCGAACTACGTTGGAAGCTGCGATTCCGCTAGGATCGACTCGACGTCGAGAACCCCGCCGGTGGCGTTATCATATCCAGAAACACTACCATCAGGCTCGTTAATGAACGTCTGCGCGAAGCTATTCAAGAGAGAGCAGATCGGCATAACGAGGCGGCCCAACCACACAAGATCGAGGTTGGTTCACAAGTATGGCTGTACCTAGATCGTGTAAAGGAGGGATATGCGCGTAAACTGGCACATATGTGGCATGGGCCGTTCCGAGTTGCGGAAGTCGTTGACTCACACGCGGTACGACTGGAAATCGCAGGATCTGACTATCACGTGTTTCCAGTGGTACATGTGTCCAAACTGAAACTGGTTTGGAAATTCCCAGATTGCCCGAATGTGAGATTGAGGGTCCAAGATCAAGATCGACTCGACTTCGATGAAGGGTTGTTACCTGAAGACAGCTGGGACACTGAGCTCGACGAGGGTGAATACGAAGTCGAACGCGTCTCGGACGAGCGAACAGGACGTCGAACACGCTACGGACGGAAGCTGCGCGAGTTCCTGGTCCACTGGAAAGGTTACGACGATCCGACATGGGTCGACGAAGCCGATCTTAACTGTGGAGCACTGCTACATGACTACTTGCGCAACCAGACCAATCGAAGACGATTCGGGGTGATGCAGTCGCACGAGGAGCAGTAAGACAGCGAGATCATGAGGGAAGAGGCCACACGAGTGATTTGATGATGGTTCTGCGAGCAGGTCGCAGATTACGGTGGATGGGGTTTTATGTATGCATTTGTAGCGTAGCTGGGCGAGAAACGACACCCAGAAAAAACAAC